GGTCCCTGCTAATGACAAGACCTTATTTTTTTAGTGCCATCTGCAGTGCAGCAAGGAGCTGGAGGGAGTGCAGAGTAGGTGGGTAAAATGCGGATCAAAGGATACCCTTTTCAGAGAATATGTCACTTTGCTCTGCATATGTATACAAATTGTGAATTGGGTTGTTGACCTTATTTTTGCTTCCTTGCTAAGTAAACATTCAATCAGGGAGGAAAAAGTATGTATACATTGTGAGACTCCACTGGGCACATGCTTGTTTCTGGTCACTGAAACAACTCTCACAGGACTTCTCTGCAGGTTCCTATTAAAGTTCAACAAAACTTGTATGGGACCTCCTAGTTTGGGAGCTGAGGTTCAATGTTGGGTTTCCCCAACAAAGTTCCTAAGAGGTTTAAGGAGCTGTTGGTTGATCTACCATTTATGCACCCACCAGAAACAAAATATATACTGTAACTGTTGGGTAAGCTGAAACCTTGCTTGTTATCCCAAAGGGCTATAGTGGATGATTCTTCAAGTGTGCTTAAAATGATACGAAAGGCATTTTTTAAGTAAAATGAGATGCTGATAGCAAGACTTATATTCTCTTGCTGTTTATATTTTTCAAGTTTCCTTCTCTGTGCATGCTCTGCATACTATTGTTGTCTCTTGGTTGCGCTGCCTGGGTTCAGACTCCTCTTCTGTGGGTGCCTGCCAGGATCTGTGATGTCCTGCCGGAGTCTCCACTTTGTACATGCTCCCGTTCTAACCTACAAGCTTACAGGCAGCCATTCCCGGTGCCACAAAACCAGCCAGCATGAGGGACACAGAGCCACAGCCAAAGCTTGGGAGATACTGTCAGTCACTGCCGTGGAAGACAAGGAGAGGCTTTACTTCTGTGAGGGACACTTGTGCGCACTTTGTGTGCTGCACTGGGAGCAGCTGTATGTAAACTTGTAGTTCAAATTGGGAGCTTGCATGAAGTGGAGATTCTTTCAGGACTTTATATGTCCCAACAGGCACAGGGGTACCCACATATCTGAAGTCAGGCAAGCACATTGGAAAAGTAGTGTGCATTAGGAGCAAGGACTTATATTTCCCAGTCCCAACATGCACAGGGTACCCACTTCACAGTCACAAGCATAGAAGGAAAAAAAAAACAGCAATATTTATATTAATATAAATTTATTATCTATATATTACAGGTCCTTATACAGTGCCGTCAATTTACTCAGCGCTTTAAATGTGTATATATTGTACATTCACATCAGTCCATAACCCTGAAGGAGCGTACAATCTAAGGTCCCTAACTCACATTCATACATACACTTACTAGGGCCAATTTAGACAGGATCCAATTAACCTACCAGCATGTCTTTGGCATGTGGGAGGAGGCTTGAGTACCCGGAGGAAACCCACGCAGGTACACGGAGAACATGCAAACTCCAGGCACAGGGTGCCATGGCTGGGATTAAAACCAATGACCCTAGAACTGCCAGATGGAAGTGCTAACCATTTAGAGTCTTTTTACATAAGATTAAACACATTCATAAACACTGAATTTGGCATATATTGGTGTGTATTTATGTGTATTTATAAAAGCTAGAAAGTAGCAATTCACCCAGTGAACGTGCATGTAAATTTGTGTGACCAGGGCAAAAACAAATATTTATAGACTATTTCCTGTGCTTGTCGAATGTCTTTCATTGATTTACCATGGAAAACACCACATTTGGCCACTAGATGGTGCTTAATATCATAAGCATTTTCTGAGATTGCTCTTATTGGAATTTATATTTCATTTCCTAGTGCATGTCAGAAGATGAAAGCTAAACCGTTGCCTGTTTCAGTAGGCTGGTGAAATCCCCCACCAGTGAAATCCCAGAGCCAGGTAAGGCAGCACATAAATGACTCAATTTTCTTTCCTTCCACCAAAGATGTATGGAAAGAAAAGTGCTTGATTACCCCATCAACACAGTCAGAGTTAGAAGTGGTGGTGGGATACCTCCCATAGCACTATTGTGTTCTGCCAGTGGGAAGGAGCAGGGAGCCTTCTTGGCCAGCAGAACACAATGACTACTGCTAACGGCTATAGCCACAGGCAGTAATCGTGTGCCAAAAAACAGGCTGGTTGTACCCAAGTTGATTGATGGATCAACTTGGGTACAATCAGCCTACCCATAGATGGATTGAATTTCAGCCAGTCCCTTCTGAATCAGACAAATTTCGATCCCTTTATGGTCAGCTTAAGGGGGACCCACCACTGAAGAATGTGGCAAGCATGGGAACTCCATGATTAATTCAGTCAATTGTCCAGAGATATTGAAGAGAATAGTGTGATGGACTGCAGAGAACATGTAACACCTTTTTCTAAATGCGTCATATTATTCTTCAGTGCCAGTCCATAAGAACACAGCAGTATTTCTGCAAGGCAGCTGTGATATCTGCTACATAAGCAGTCTTTGTTTTGTCACATTACATAGTAAAGGTGACCCTTGTCATGAAGACACAGCCAGTAAAGTCAGCGGTTCTCTCCACAATAGCCTGAACTAAGAAGAATAGGCTACTCTTATCTTTAAAACATTAACCTATTAGAAAAAAGGAAAATGGATGTTAGAACCTATAGGCAGGGATACATTTATATTGCCATACACCCCCTCCCCACCCCGTTCTATTTTTATTGCATTTCTTTGCTGTAAGCAAGCATTTAACTGCATGAAATCGATTCATTCAAGTTTTTTTGTAGTGATTAGCTGTGATTGGCCATGGCTAATCACATGACACAAACGGGCGGCTGTGATTGGCCCAGCCTGTGCATGTGATCACTGTGCTCATTCACAACTAGACACACTTGTATACAATGGATGGCATGAAAGGAAGCCATCCATTGTTTGCAATTGTCATGTGACCTGCTGTGATTGGTCAACAGGGCCGGTAAACACATCTCTGTCATCGGCGGTGTCCAAGGTACACAGCCGGTGACAGATCTCACCAAAGTGTGGCCCTGCGGGTACGCGCAAGGTGTGATCCGGGAAGGATGTCATATGATGCCCTCCTGGATCAACGAGAGACCCACCCAGCAGTCATTTTACTATAGGCCGGGCAGGAAGTGGTTAAAGAGAAAGGTTTTCGGGGATCATCTTAAGGTGGATAGATTAGCAGATAACTGGACAGATTGGGGTAGGGAGTTCCATAGGATAGCAGAAGTCCTGGAGGCGAGCATGGGAGGAGGTGACACGGGAACTAGAGAGCAGGAGGTCTGGGGAGGATCGAAGAGAGCGGTTTGGTAGATATTTTGAGCCCAGGTTGCTTATGTAGCTGGGGGCAGAGTTGTGGATGGTTTTGTAAGTTGTTGTTAGTATTTTGAATTTTATTCATTGGGCGAGTGGAAGCCAGTGGAGGGATTGGCAGATGGTATTCATGATGCACTGGAGGGGGGATAGCCAATGAGGAGGGAGCTGCAGTAGTCGAGGTGAGAGATAACCAGGGAATGAATTAGGAGCTTTGTGGTATCATTGGTTAAAAAGAGGCGTATCCTGGAGATTTGGCGGAGGTTGAGGCGGCATGATTTGGACAGGGATTGGATGTGGGCCTGAAAGGATATTTCAGAATCCAGGGCTACCCCTAGCGCCCTGGTATGCGGAGATGGGTTGATAGTGGTTCTATTAATTCTGACCGAGAAATCAGGGGAAAAGGTACGTGGGGGAGGACATATTATGAAGTCAGTTTTGGATAGATTGAGTTTTAGGAAGTGGTGTGACATCCAGTCTGATATGTCTGTTAGTAAATCGGTGATACATGAGGAAATTGAAGGGATGAGCTGAGGAGTAGAGAGATAGATTTGTGTGTCATTAGCAATCAGCCTGCCCATAGATGGGTTAAATCCCGGCCGGTCCCTGCTGAACTGGCCAAGATTCAAACCATCTAAGGCATGCTTAAGGCTGATCCATACACGAGCGGGTTGAATGAAAGAAAATGATTAGATTCCCCCATCCACACACTCAATGTGAATGGGGGATTCCTCTAGTTGAACTACTGTATTTTGAATACATGAGAATACATTTATCATCACCACTTGCTATAGTCAGCTGCACTGATAAAGATAAACTCTCCAGCTGGCTTGTCATACACAAGTTGATCAATAGGGTACAGCCAGCCTACCCACACATGGATCGAAATTCATCTGGTCCCTGCTGAACTAGACAAATTTTGATGCATGTATGGCAGGCGTAATACAAGTAGTTGATTATATTATAATAATTACTAATAATTATTAGCCAAATCATCAGGTGAGAACAGAGGGGAAAAAAGTCAACAAAAAATAATTTGGAGCCACCACATCTAATGATTAATAAGCTGCAAAAAATGACATTTTTGGTTTGAGGTTTAATAAGGTTTTTGAAGCTGAAGATTAGTCTTTTTTTTTATTTTGCCTCTGCCTGTTACTTCTACCTTTACAGGCACTCAAAAGCGCTGACTATGACTGCCCTTTTGATATCCCCTCCATTGATAGATGTCGAACTATTGGCCCCCCACAATGGAAATGGAGGAAGACATTTCATTCCTCTACTCAGCCTCCATTCATAGAGTGCTTTTCATTGTGGGAACTGATAGTGTGGCCTCTATGAATGGAGCAGGTGGGCAGAAAGGGAGGGCATAGTCGTCCCTTTTGAACAGTGCATGTAACAGGTGAAGCCACCAGTAGTATGTGATCTTCTGGTGCAAAGGGGGCACTTGTCATTCATGTAAATATGGTCCCTGGTGCTGATTAGCCACTAGCCTACAGGGCACTTATACCCCCTTCCTGCCCAGGCCAATTTCCAGCTTTCAGCGCTGTCACACTTTGAATGACAATTGCGCGGTCATGCAACACTGTACCCATATGAAATTTTTATTATTTTTTTGAGACAGATAGAGCTTTCTTTTAGTGGTATTTAATCACCTCTGGGATTTTTATTTTTTCTTAAACAAACCAAAAACCACAGAAAAGTTTGAAAAAAAAATATTTTTTTTTTTAGTTTTTGTTATACAATTTTGTAAATAAGCGATTTTTCTCCTTCACTGATGTGCGCTAATGAAGCTGCAGTGATGGGCACTGATAGGCTGCACTGATGGACACTGATAGGTGGCACTGATGAGGAGCATTGGTAGGTTACACTGATGGGCACTGAAAGGCAGCACTGATACATGACACTGATATATGGCACTGATAGGCAGCACTGATAGGCGGCACTGACTGGCACTGTTAGGCGGCACTGACTGGCACTGATAGGCGGCACTGACTGGCACTGATGCACACTGATAGGCGACACTGACTGGCACTGATAGGTGGCACTGATTAGCAGCACTGATAGGTGGCACTGATTGGCATTGATAGGTGGCACTGACTGGCACTGATGGGTGACATTGAATGGCAGCTCAGATGGGCACTGATATGTGGCATTGATGTGTACTGGTATGCACTGATATGTGGCACTGATGGGAACTGGCACGTGGCACTGATGGGCACTGGCACGTGGCACTGATGGGCACGGACAGGTGGCACTTCTGGGGCCACACTGATCATCAGGGCACACTGATCATCAGGGCACACTGATCATCAGTGCCCTGATGATCAGTGTACATGTCCCCTCCGCGGAAAGCCAATTACCGGCTCTCCTCTCCTCTCGAGCTGTCAGCGTGACAGCTCGAGAGGAGAGAAATGCCGATAACCGGCATTTCCGTGTTTACATGTGATCAGCTGTGATTGGACACAGCTGATCACATGACCGAGCCGACATCTTCAGCTCTTTCCGTGATCCGCTGTGTCAGAGGGACACAGCACACCAGCGATCGCCGTGCTGCGCGCTCCCTGAGCCGCGCATGCGCAGTGAGAATGGTAGGACGTCACATGACATCCTATCAGAATGAGAGAACCACCTTGCGCCCGTCATTGTACTATAGGGCGCGTGGAAGGTGGTTAAAAAAAAACAAAAATCTAAATTTCAATTTTAATCTCTTGCTACTAAGAAATGTAACCACTTCCTGGCAGTCACCTTACTAGGCTAGAGCTACATGGGAGATTTTTAGTAGCTCCATCCTGCTACTGAATGGGCTGGGAGTGTAGCAAATGATTGCTAAAGAAATAGAACACAGGGCTCCCTATGGAGCATACTAGCAAAGTAGTAAAATCTGGAAGTCATCAGTCGCACATAAGTAGAGCATTGTGCGATCATGCGATATTGATTGCTACCACAAGTTACTTGAGCATTTTATAAAGGTTGGTAGAGCATTGTGTGATCATGCGATATTGATTGCTATCACAAGTTACTTGAGCATTTAAAAAAGGTTGGTAGAGCATTGTGCGATCATGCAATATTGATTGCTACTACAAAGTTACTTGAGCAGTTTAAAAAGGTTGGTGAAAGATATATAAACAATAACTCCAACACCACCTCAGTGTTCCATAACCAAGAAGCCTTTTTGTTCACGTTTAAATTGCCCTTAGAGCTCCATAAGTACACCCAAAGCTAACATTCAAAACTGGAGGCTGCCATTGAAACCATACATATGATGCTATTCATGAAACGGCATAGGTGTGCGTTGCTCAAGGTAATGGTAGTTTGCAGCTGAAATTGACAGCCTTACTTGGGAACAAAAATATATAAATTTTAGATGACAATTCTACATTACATTATTCAACCATCAAATGACCGTTTTTAACCAATGCAGACATACACATGTATGCTTGTAATATATGAGCATGAATTTACCATAAATCGTTTTTCACTGACAGAGTACAACTGGCTAACAACCAAAATTTTCCAAACCATCCAAAAAGAAAGAAGTTTTGCATCATCTTTTATTTTGGGTTCTGAGAAGATGGACATATCATATGTCATAGTAATTTCCATTAGCAGCCGTCGGCCACACTCATTGCTTTAGGAATATATGCCATGACTATTAGGTCTTGTCCACACGGGGTATAGCAATGCATACTGTATTTCATGCATCCCTGTGCAGGCAGTCCCATTTATGTCAATTGGAACACAGCGGCTGCAAAGACACAGCCGCTGCTCCAAAAAACATAACATCTGTGTGGGTGCAGGTGAATGGCCCCAAACACAGACAGTGTGAGTTTGGGGACACGCATCCACAACCACATGGATGTCATACTCATACTGGGAGCAGCTGTGTCCATTCAACAGCTGCATCCTAATTGACATCAATGGGACTGCCTGCATATAGATGCATGGACCACCTGTACATTTACATGTGTGTAAACATGGCCCTCACATGGGGTACATATTGATAAGCCTCCTGTGAACAAGGACTCAATTAACAAAATATCAAATTAACAATTAAAACACATATTTCAGTTGGTTACTGCAGATTACCTATCCCACAATGGTCTCTATCCTAATTTATGGGTAGTCCAGCATGCTTAGTTCAAGAAAAGTTGTATGTACAAAAAAAAAATAAATGAATGAAAAAAAAAGCTGGAAAAACACCCATATTGACCAAGTCTGACCTGCCCTGTCTAGGCATGTCAGAATAATGCAGTGTGTTGCATGTGTTTATGATCTTTCACAGATTCTCCATTTCAATGCAAATGAGACCTTTGTTAGAAGTGCTGCAAGTGAAAGCATTCAATAAACACAAGCTTGGACTGCTTCCATTGTGTCACCTCAGCAGGATGCATTCTGCATAGTCAGAACATTTGCTGAGTTCACAAAACACTGAGCCTACCATGACTGCAGCACTTGCAGCTTGTTACACCAATATGTCAATAAATATTGGTTTTCTTCTTCACCCGAGGATTGTATCATGCAATGCAATTACCCAATGAAAAAAAAAAAACAAAACACCAGCAATGAACGTATATAGTTACTTATTCACGAACAGATCTATAGTCAGATAAACCATATGCTAGAAACACCAAACACCAAGCATAATCTAAATAAGACAACTCCAAATTCTGCAACTACAGTAGAAATTATGTTTTCAGTACTAATCAGAAACTTTTACATGGCTCAGTGCCCCTCAGCTGGTGTTTAGGTTGGAGGCAGTAATGTTTTTGGGGCTCTCCAAGCTGTCTTTGACCTAAAGCTGACCAGACACCATCAGATTTCTGAACAAATATTCATATGAATATTCATACAAAAATTCTCAGTACATTTCAATAGCTTAATGAATGTTCAAAATTACTTCAAAATTTATTTTGCTTTTAATATCTGATTTTGGAAAAAACATAATTTTCTGAACAAAAAACACTTGCACTGTTACACATTTGTTCAGTCCAGAAAAACTTTTCATCCTGCTCCTTCAAATTTTCTCGTCACTGCAGTTGAAAATGAATGACCATTTGACACTGCTAATGATTAGAAAATTGAACAAATGTTCTTAAGACAAAACATTTTAAACAAAGTTCTACACATGTATTGCCAGTTTATGTGTTTCCCTTCACTGTTAGCAAGGTAGCAAGAAAGAGATTTAAAGCGGTTGTAAAATAACATTTTTTATTTTTCTAAAATAAAAAGATGTTATACTTATGACATGGTCAGGGGTCAGGCTCAGAGACCAGTAGCTATAGCAATAGAATGGCTCCCACCAACCAGCTGGATAATTACAGTAGCAGGTCGTCCTGGCAGATGACATAGGCTCCCCCAAGGTGCGGAGTCTAAGCACTAACCAGTGTTCACCAGAGTTCCTGATGGTGGAGATGGGTTTTACAGTGTTTTAGTAATATTTCCCTGTCCTCAGGAGGTGAGCCAGCTGGAGTCCAGTAGCAGATATACCAGGTAGAGATAAAGCAAACGTGTAGTCAAGAAACAAGCCAAAGGTCAGTAATGAGTGGAAGCAGTTATACGGACAACAAAAGGAGTGGAAAGAGCAAAATAATCTGGCAAACCGAATTTAGCAGATGGAAAGAGTACCTTCAAATTTTTAGTTGACATCCAAACTTTGTCACTAACATTAAAAGTAGAAAGTGATCTGTCATGTTTTTCGGCACCCTTTTTATAACATACCTGAGCCTCCCTCAAAGTCTCAATAATTTTTCTGCTGAATCTCCTGCAATGTGTTTACTCTGTTGGTAACAGCAGGAATTGGAGTTGAGATAGGGAGATCAGGAATAAAAACTGGATGATACCGATATTTAAGAAAAAGGGCTTTTGGAGGTGGTGCTATGTGTTGAATTGATATAAACAAGCTCTGCCGTAGGAAGTTAGTCCACCCACTCATCCTGAAGATAACTAACAAAACATTGAAGGAAGGGTTTTAGAAGGTGGAGCTATGTGTAGAATTGTTATAAGCAAACTCTGGCGTAGGAAAATAGTTCACCCACTCATCCTGAAGATAACTAACAAAACATTGCAGGTACTGCTCTAAAGTTTGCTCCTCTCGGTCTGACCATCAGACTGAGGATGAAAAGCAGAAGATGGATCAATTGTTACACCTAAAGCTGAGCAAAAGCTTTTCTTAAATTTCAAAGTAAACTGTGCTCCTCTGTCAAACACCAAATCATCAGGCATTCCATGTAGTCTAATGACTTCAGGAACCATCAACTCTGCAGTTTGTTTGTTCAGCAGAGGGTACCCCTTAACAGGTATAATGTGAGCCATCTTAGTGAGGCGGTAGACGACTACCAAGATGGCAGTCATCTCTTACGAGGGAGGAAGAAAAACCAGGAAGACCATAGAAATTGACCACCCTTGTCTTGATTGAACAGGGAGTGGTTGGAGTATCCCCCAAGAGAGAAGATCAGGGTGTCTTACTGCATGCACAGGTTAAACATGAGATTACATAGTTCTTAACATGTTTCTTGTAACCAGGCAACCAAAAAAACCCATAAAAGTTCTTCTGTCTTAGAAACTCCAATATGTTCAGCAAGTTTAGAGTCATGAACCAGCCTGAGGGCTTCTACGTGAACCGTTTCGGGTAAATAGAGGCAATGTGCAATGTAAGTCCAAAAGCCATTCCTATACTTTGGGTTACTGTCCTTAGGAGGATGATTGAGAAGTTGGTCATTATTATACCCCTCTTTGAAGAGACTCAAGAATGTCTTGGAGTTTGTGATCTCTAGGAATTTCTTCTGGGATAGGATTGTACATTCAGAGTTGCCTATCTAAAGAGACTCAACCAACTTCCTCAATAAGGCATTAGCTTTACCATTCCTTGAATCAGGTCAATATTAGATGATTGACTTTAACCTGGAAAAAAATAGAGACCAACGTGCTTATCTAGAGAACAATCTCTAGGCAGAAAAAATGAATTAAAAAATGTTATGATCAGTGAGAACAGTTACAAGGTGACTAGCCCCTTCCAACAGATGCCTCCATTCAGGAAGCTTCCCTAATTACCAGCAGCTCCTTATTCCCAATGTCACAATTCCTTTCAGACGAAGACATTAAACAAGAAAAATAAGCACAAGGATGAAGCCACATCATTTCTCCTTTTTGGCTGAGAAAGGATAGCTCCCACAGTAGAGTCTGAAGCATCCACATCAACGATATAAGAAAGTTCAGGATCAGGATGTAGCAATATTGGTGTGGAAGAAAAAAAA